TCCTCTGTTTTTCCAGCTTAATATCCCAGGATCCTTGCTCAATGGCTGGTACTTAGTAGGTGCCCACAGACTTTAATAGAAGGCAGGGAGGGGTGGGCGGGTTCCGATGCTTTAAGGTCACCAAGATAGTGAGAGGATTCCAGCTAGGTCTGTCTAATCCCGACTTACCCGTGGACCCTTGAGCCCTTTCCATTGAAGGATCAACTCTTGAAGTTAAATTGAAATCTGCCTCCTTGAACTTTACCCAACTCAAAATCAGTGCCTTTTGATACAGGCTCTTCCTGTGCATTTCCTGTGACCGGAAATGCTGGGGACTTCCTGCCTTGGCAGCTTGCTGCTGACTTTATTGAAGTAGCCTGTGGGATTTGACCCTGTCTGCCTTTTGCCACATTGGCCTCTTGGGGAAAACTCCAGAAACCAGGGATCTAACAGATTTTTCGACCTTTCCCCTTGCTATCATTGGATCATCGTAGCTCCCTTTGCTCCTGCATCTGTTGTCCCAGTGCCGTGGAGACTGAACTCTGGTCTGAACCAAGGTATAGCTCTTCCCTGGGGCTCCAGCACATCTCCAGAGTTAAAGTATTCCTCATTCTTCTGCTGCCACTTGCTCCAGGTCAGAGTGAGTGGCTGTGTTCCTGTGCTGCACAGTTATACAGGTACTTAATGCTGGTGCTCCGTGCCTTTGATTCTTCTCTCTCTGATATTGATGTGCCTAGGAATTCTAGAGCTAATGTTCTAAGATCCCCGCCCCCTTTTCAGATTTTATTTATTTATTTGAGAGGTAGAGTTACAGACAGTGAGAGGGAGAGACAGAAAGGTCTTCTGTCCATTGCTTCACTCTCCAGGTGGCTGGAGCTGCGCCGATCCGAAGCCAGGAGCCAGGTGCTTCCTCCCGGTCTCCCATGTGGGTGTAGGGTCCAAGCACTTGGGCCATCTTCCACTGCTTTCCCAGGCCACAGCAGAGAGCTGGATTGGAAGAGGGGCAGCTGGGACTAGAACCAGTGCCCGTATGGGATGCCAGCACTGTAGGCAGAGGATAGCCTACTGTGCCATGACGCCGGCCCCTGTTTCCCTCTTTTTTCTTTTATTTTGAGACCTGCAGTTTGTAAACTCCTTAGATCTTGCTCCTGCCCCTTTGACTGATAACAAATCAGAACCTTTGGGATAACTGAGGAGGAGCTGATCTTTCTGGAGTATGTAACAAATGCTGATGGAGCACATTGACCAGTGAGTGAGTGGGATGGTGCATGGATCTTAAGTAGGAGTCATGGGGTCTGAATTCTGGTCCCATCTCTCCCCGCCCCCGCTTTCTAGTCCTTGTTTTTCCCAGTGATAGTAAGTAAGTGAATTCACCTTGAGCCACTTGAGTTTTTCAACAAGGTGGAGTTTGGGCACAGTATGGCATCTCTGCCCTCTGCCCTTGAGGACTTGGTAGCAGTTCTCATGGCTGAGAGGCCATTCCTCAGAAGGGCAGTGTGGAATGAGCGAAGCCCTTCTGAGTGGTAGTTCTTTTTTTTTTTTTTTTTTTTTTTTTTTGACAGGCAGAGTGGACAGTGAGAGAGAGACAGAGAGAGAAAGGTCTTCCTTTGCCGTTGGATCACCCTCCAATGGCTGGCACACTGCGCTGATCCGATGGCAGGAGCCAGGATCCAGGTGCTTTTCCTGGTCTCCCATGGGGTGCAGGGCCCAAGCACCTGGGCCATCCTCCACTGCACTCCCTGGCCATAGCAGAGAGCTGGCCTGGAAGAGGGGCAACCGGGACAGAATCCGGCGCCCCAACCGGGACTAGAACCCGGTGTGCCGGCGCCGCAAGGTGGAGGATTAGCCTAGTGAGCCACGGCGCCGGCTCTGAGTGGTAGTTCTGGCAGACACAGCTTTGGCTGCTCTGGGCATCCCAGGGCCATTCTCCATCATTCTGCCCCAGCCCTGTGTACCCTCCTCTTCCTCCTCCTCTTCTTCCTCCTCCCCCTCACTGCTAATCCTCACTCACTGTTGGGCACTGGCTTTGGCTTTTTTCAGAGACTGTTACTTGAAAGTGAGAAAAATCCAGAGCATACCCAAATTAAGAAAATATAAAGGCCGGAGCCACGGCTCAATAGGCTAATCCGCTGCCTGCAGCGCCATCGCACCGGGTTCTAGTTCTGGTCAGGGCGCCGGATTCTGTCCCGGTTGCCCCTCTTCCAGGCCAGCTCTCTGCTGTGGCCCGGGAGTGCAGTGGAGGATGGCCCAAGTGCTTGGGCCCTGCACCCGCATGGAAGACCAGGAGAAGCACCTGGCTCCTGGCTTTGGATCAGCACAGTGCGCCGGCTGCAGCAGCCATTGAGGAGTAAACCAACAGAAAGAAAGACCTCTCTCTCTCTCTCTCTCACTCTCTCACTGTCCACTCTGCCTGTCAAAAAAAAAGAAAATATAAAAAGATTAATCAGCTTCACAGATATAGATAAGGTTGTGATAATAACTGCAGGAGGCTTTTTGAAAATCAATTACACAGTTTTACAAGATAAAAATTCCAGAGATTGGATACACAAGAATGTAATTAGACTGGACTGTACTAAAATGGTCAATTTTAAAATGTTATGGATGTTTTACCAGTTTTTTAAAAAGTATAAAAAGAAAAAAGCAGGTCTTAGAAAATTTCAGGGGCCGGCACTGTGGTGCAGCAGGTTAATGCCCTGGCCTGAAGTGCTGGCATCCCAGATGGGTGTCGGTTCGAGTCCTGGCTGCGCCTCTTCTGATCCAGCTCTGTTATGACCTGGGAAAGCAGTAGAAAATGGCCCAAGTCCTTGGGTCCCTACACCCACATTGTGGGAGACCCGGAGGAAGCTCCTGGCTTCGGATCAGTGCAGCTCCAGCCATTGTGGCCAGTTGGGGCGTGAACCAGCAGATGGCAGACCTCTCTCTCTCTCTCTCTCTCTCTCTCTCTCTCTCTGCCTCTCCTTCTCTTTCTATTAACTCTGACTTTCAAATAAATAAATAAATCTTTAAAAAAGAAAGAAAATTTCAACAAGTAAGTTTCCAATCTTTTTTCCTTTAAGGCTAAAATTCTAAGTAGCTGCTTAATAGTTAACTGCAAGGAAAGTATGTTAAATTTGCAATTTCTTTTCAGAGCATGTAATCAGTTATCCATTGTAATTAGCCGATTAAATCTTTACTATGTATTTATTATGGAAAATATAAGTACAGAAAAGTAGACAAAAGAAAACAGTCATCTATAACACCACTACCAAACATCACCAGTGTAAGAATTCTGATGTATTTCCTTCTGATGTATTTCCTTTGTGGGGACTTGGGCTCGGCTCACGTATGGTACCAAGCATATTGTGCACTCACTCAGTGTTCACCTTGCCTTTGGTAAGCACCAGTTGACTGTCTTTGAGCGTGTATTGTAATTTATTTAGACATTTAACACTTTTTAATGTGGATATACATTATTTTATATATGATGAGCTATAAATATAAAATTCATCATTTAAACCATTTTCAGTGTGCAGTTCAGTGTATTATATTCACAGTGTTGTGCTATCATCATCACTCTAGTTCCAGAATTTTTTATCATCCCAAACAGAAACTGTCATTAAGCAGTAACTCCCCATTACTTCACGTCCCAGCACCTGGTTATACCTCTGACTCACTTTATCTCTGTGAATCTGCCGACTGTAGGTGTAAGTGAGGTTATACAATGTGTCTTCTTTTTGTATCTGGCTTCTTTCATTTTGCATAGCCATCCATTTGCCACATGTATCCCATCTTACAGGTGTACAGTGTTTGTTTTTCCATTCATCTGTTGATGAACACTTGGCTATTTTGAACCCTTGCTGATGGCAAGGACCCAACTGCTTGAGCCATCATCCCTGCTGCCCAGGCTCTGCATTGCAGGAAACTGGAATCCAGAGCTGGAGCCAAGTATCAAACCTAGGTACTCCATTGTAGGATGCAGGTGTCTTAACTGATAGCTGCTTTTTTTTTTTTTTTTTTTTTTGACAGGCAGAGTTAGTGAGAGAGACAGAGAGAAAGGTCTTCCTTTTTCCATTGGTTCACCCCCCAAGTGGCCGCTATGGCCAGCGCGTTGTGGCTGGCGCACTGTGCTGATCTGAAGCCAGGAGCCAGGTGCTTCTCCTGGTCTCCCATGGGGTGCAGGGCTCAAGCACCTGGGCCATCCTTCACTGCACTCCCAGGCCACAGCAGAGAGCTGGACTGGAAGAGGAGCAACCGGGACAGAATCCGGCACCCCAACTGGGACTAGAACCCGGGGTGCCGGCGCTGCAGTCGGAGGATTAGCCTAGTGAGCCGTGGCGCCGGCCAACTGATAGCTTTTAATGACTAGGCCAAATGCCTGCCCCTGTGTTTTTGAATATCTGTCTGCATAAAGCTTCTTTGATATTTCCATCTATTCTTTTAAGTTCCTTGAAGTGAAAATTAGCAGATCAAAGAGTGTGGCAGTATGAGAAACATCATGCCAAATACCATCCAAACTGACTGAACCTCTTTCGCTATTTTCACCAATGTCTAAGAATGACATTCTCACCAAACCAACATTGATTGCATCCTGTGTCACAGTTTTAAATACTGGAGAGTAATACTGCCCATCCATAATGGAGCCATGCTGCATCCACAGGATGGCTTACCTGACATAGCTCCTGGTCACCAGGTCCTTCTCCCCCCATTCTCCCTTTCCCTGACACTGACTCAGGCCGATCTGCAGGTCCTATTGCACCTGACTTCCCAACGTATCTCTTCTCCTCATCTGCTTAGCAAAGATGAGGTTGATTTGGCTTAAGAAAGATGTGTGTGCTGTCTCTCTCTCTCTCTCCCCCACTCTCTCTCTCTCTGTAACTCTTTTGAATAAATAAATGAATCTTTAAAAAAAAAAAATGTCCTCTGACTTTGGAGCTCAGCCTGCCACGTTGCCTCCACAGAGAAGACCCCAGGCCTCTGTGATGTCCTCCCTCGTGACTGGATTCTCACAGCCCTTCCTGTCTTGTCTTCTTGCCCTTCTGCAGTTCTACAGCGAGTCGGGCATGCCTACCAAACACCTCTCGGACAGCGTGTGTGCCGTGTGTGGGCAGCAGATCTTTGTGGACGTCAGCGAAGAGGGCATCATCGAGAACACGTACAGGCTCTCCTGCAACCATGTGTATCCTCCCTCCCGCACCTGGGCCCTTGTCTCTTGTGACTTGCACACTCCAGTCAGGGAGGAAAGGGGGTGGTCTTGACCTCTGGGCATGTTGTCCAGGCCTTGTGTGTAGAAGAAGCCACGCGAGGACAGAAGCTATAGCCTTGCCTGGTCCCACAGATTGGAGCCGTCTTTCCGTGAACAGCCGGTATAGCCTGGCTGGGTCAGAGCGGAGCCAGAAGCTGCATCACAGCCCGACATCGGGTGTCACGGGGAAGATGACCCTCTAACAGAGCCTCTCCTCACTCTGAGAGACATTTCTGAGATTTATCATCTGTTTGCTAAGCTCCCAGTGTATGCCTGTGTTGGGAGATCCTTACGTTGTAAGGAAACAGTTTGACAGAAACTACATAGCCAGTAAGAAGTCCCTCTGGGGTTTGAGCCTTTCTGCAGAGCTGCATCCAGGCGCCTTACCACCGGCACGGGCTGGAGTGCCGTGCTGGCTGCCCACCATTTCCTTGACCAGCGGTACTCAGATTCCATGAGTTCTGCATCCGCGGCTGGTGCATCGTGGGAAAGAAGCAGACGTGCCCCTACTGCAAAGAGAAGGTAGACCTCAAGAGGATGTTCAGCAATCCGTATCCTTTGTTCGGACCCTGATTGGGCATAGGTGGTAGGAAGGAAGTACTGGCCACTGAGCCCCTGTGTTTGGGCCCTCCAGGGACTCTCCCTCCTGTCCCCAGCCTGGGACGTGTCACCATTCTATTTTGCTTCTGTTGGTAGGGAAGTTAGGGTGGGACCTGGGGCAGGACCAGCAGCTCAGTTGCCTGTCATCAGTTGATGGTAATAGCAGCTGCCAGATACTTCTTGTGTCCCGTGTGCCTGGCACTGGATTAAGCGCTTTACTGCTTTTGGTTCATTTGATTCTCTAGCATCTCTGTGCCCTGGATGCTGTTATTCCTGTTTTATAAACAGAGGTTTTCTAATTTAGAGCTTGAGTAAGACGTTCAGGGTTACACAGCGAGTGAGGCTTTGCCTGTGACATACAGTGCTAGAGGCCAGCTCTGTTCCGGTGCAGAGCCAGCGGGGAATAAGGATGGCTGAGGGATCTCTGTCCCACCCGCTTCGACACAGAAGCTGTGCTCCTCTGAGCAACCACTTCCTCCCAGCCAGCCCTCCCACTGCGCCCTCTCCCTGTCTGTGGGAAGTGCTCAGTCACTTCTCTGGCCCCACCTGTACTTCTAGGGCTCAGGGACCCAGCTTTTCTCCCCTCTTACCTGTCTCCCCTTTCTCTCTGCTCCAGTTTCCTGTACTCCCCCACCCCGCCCCCGCCCCGGGGTCATTCAGTGGACACCCTGTCCCTAGCTCATTCCTATTGTCTGGATTCTGTGGCCTGTCCCCTTTCAAGTTCCCTGCCTGGTTCTTCAGGGGAGCAGTTCAGGGACAGGGAAGTTAACTCCACAGGCACGCCGAGGCTTGGGGTTTCCTTTAGCTCTCAGGGTCCTGGGCCAAGCTGATCTTTCCCGTAACCTTGAAGTTGTTCTGCCAGTTTTGTGACCTTCTCCCTGTGCTTTCCCCAGAGCTGGGCTTCTCTGGGCCACACTCCAGATTCCTGCCCAGCATTTAAATGTAAAGCAAAAGGCAGAGAACTCATCTCCGGAGTGCGTCGTGGCCGGCGTGGCACCTGCCTTACAGCCTCTGCCCCGGTGATCCCTTATGACTGCCTCTTGGTCCCAGCTCCCTCTGGCTCCGACCCTAGACCCGGTCAGCTCCTTGACCTAAGAAACATTCAATGGGACATTGGAAAAACCTCAGGGAAAGGTGATGACCCCATCCCAGCCTTACAGCAGGCTGTGTTCTCTCACTGGCAGTCACGTCATAGAGAACACGTTACCCAGCGGCATGGGTAACCCTCCCTGCGTGTGGGTCATGGAGAGCTATGTCCTTTTAAAATTATTAAAAATATATTTTATTTATTTGAAAGGCAGAGTTACAGAGGTAGATGGATGGATGGAAAGAAGAGTTCAGCCAACCACTGGTTCATTCTCCAAATGGCAGCAACAGCAAAGGCTGGGCCAGGCCAAAGCCAGGAGCCTGGAACTCCATCCGAGTCTCTCCTGTGGGTGACAGGGGCCCAGACACGTGGGCCATCTTCTGCTGTTTTCTCAGGCATATTAGCAGGGAGCTGGACTGGAAGTGGACTAGCTGGGACTCAAACTGGCATTCCTATGGGATGCTGGTAGTGCAGGCTGCAGCTTATCCCTCTGCCACAGCACCAGCCCACCTCTCTCATGTCTGTTCCATCTTTTGTACCTGGGCCCTCTGCCCTCCTTTCCCCACTCTGCATTCATCCCTTCATTCCAACATGAAGAGCTAAAGAGAGGCTGGCTGGACCCTTCTAGAAAGGAGCTTCCTTTCCTTCATGATTTCTAGCACCTGGAGAATGGAACCCAGCGAGTGTCTGGGAACACCTCCCACCCACGCTGGGTCAGCCTCGGCAGCTCCCACAGAGCCTCTTTTCTTTAACCTACGGCCAGCTGGGAGAGGCCTCATGTCATGTATGGGCAGCTGCTGGATTGGCTTCGATACCTGGTAGCCTGGCAACCTGTCATCATCGGCCTGGTACAAGGCATCAACTACATCCTGGGCCTGGAGTAGCAGGAAGAGCATCAGTGGAGAACCCGCCCCGCCTACCATGGACCTCAGGGCACTCTCCTCCCTGCCCACCACGACTTCCTGGGTGGGAAAGACTCAAAGGGGCGCTTGGGCCACTCAGGACCCCTCCGGCTGTGTCCGGGCTGGGGAGGGATATGATGGAGAGCCAGCCAGTGGGGCTGTCAGCAGTGGGGGGCTTTTTAAAAGAAAACTATTTTGATGACTATATTTAAAAAACCTTTTTTATTGTGGAGCACAGGAATGCCCCCAACCCCCGGCGTCATCCTTCCTGCTCCAGCAGGGTGCGAGCAGGGCCGTGACACTTTTGACTTAAAGGAGCCTTCTCCCCTCTGGCCTGGGGGTTCTCGGGCGGCCGAAAGCCTCAGCTTCCTGAAGCCCTTTTGCATCTCTCGGTGGGGCTCAAGCCTCGTCCTCTGAGCGGGGAGGAGCTAGACAGCTCAGGCAGGCGCCCCAGGAGCACACTGAGGCGTGAAGGGTCTTCCTTGTTGCCCCGTCGGCACACAGAATGGCTGTTTTTGGCTCTGTCTCCCCTGTCCAGGAGCTAAAGGCTGGTTGAGGCCAGTGGAGCCTCATCAGTGACTTCCAACAAGGGAAGCCCTGGGCACAGCCTTCACTGAATGGGGACAACAGGTTACCTGCCCTGAGCAGGACTGTAGTCAGTGGGGTAGAGAGGCCATTCGTGTACTATTACGCCTGGCCGTCGGAGTGCTTCAGGGCCTCTTGTGCAAGCTGATCCTTCAGCCAGGAAGTGATGACATGTGCCAAAGGCCACTCTGCCACACCACTTCCTTCCTGAAAGCCTGAGAGTGTACATGTGTACATGTGCGTGTCTCTGTGTGCGTGCTCAGCAGAGGATGACGGGGAATTTCTCCTGGTCACTGTGCCCTCGAGGGGATTCCCAGCCCAGGGAATGCCCTGCATGAGCACCATCATTCACGGGGCTTGCCTGGGCCGGACAACAGCCATGGTAGGCGGTGGGCAGAAGGATAAGGCCTCGGTGAGTAGATTTGGAAAAGGGCTCCCAGGCAGGCTCCAGCCCTGCTTCTAGGAGCTCTGGAGGACATAGGAGGGCACACGTCGGCCTGCAGCACTAGGGCGTGTGGCTCAGCAGGCCTACCCCTTGAAGGGCAGCAGGAACCAAGATCTTGTCACTCTGGTCTGAATAAAGCTCCGTGAGCTGGGTTGGAAAGCGGCCATCATCTTTTCTTCTCTGGGTCTGGGGATGTCTTGTCTTCACTCATCTGGCAGTTGAGACCTGGAGGTAATTGGCCCTGCCCTCCCACAGTCCCCCACCCCCCAGGGTCCCTGATGATGGTGGAATCCTGGGCCCCTGTCCTAGGGTGTAAGGGTCCCTGGATCCCCCTTAGAGGTGACTCAACTACCTACTGAGGGCCACTCAGGCTGGGCTTCTTTTACTCAGTTGTTGCCCAGCGCCGTGCCACTATGGGCACGTGTTCTGAGGGGACTGGAGACTGGGAATGGAAGAGCTCAGAATTACCCTCCCTTCCACTTTTGTACCCCCACTCCCCTGTCGGGCTCATGTGAGATGTTGGGGCCAGACTGTCCAAGGCTTTCTTAATGGTCCTGAGTCTCATGACTGCCTAGTGGCCAACTCTGGTCTTAGTTACCTGTGTGGGGTCCTGCGTCCTCTCTCTGCAGCCCCCAGTGGGCCGTGTCTGTTCAAAACCCCAGGTGGCCTCACCGCCTGGCCCAACAACTGAAAATGCTGGTGCTCCTCGGGAGGGAGCCTCGGGGCCCCAAGAGAACTGTAAACTGGAAAAGAGGATGAGACTTGGAGCCCCACGTCTAAGGGAGGAATAGGGACCTGGTTTTCCTCCCACAATAGCCTTGGCATTGCAGCTGACAGCGTTGCTGTCAGACCTCGGCCTCCCTGTCTGTGCAGCCTCCTATCTGGGTCACAGACAGACCTGACGCCCAGCTCGTGTCCACACTGGCCGCGCTCTTGCACCGTGTCTCCCGGCACCAGCCCTTCTGCCTCCACAGGTACATGCAGGACCCTGTGGGCACAGAGCCTCTCCTGCTCCTGGCCCTGCTCCAGCCCTGTTGGTCCCATCAGTGACCAGATGATCGATCGTGTAGCGGCTGCTGCCACTGGAGCAGTGCCAGGCCACTCTGCCTCCTTCCGGGAGGCGCCCTCCCCTCCTTTCAGGCCAGCTTGCACGCTGATGTTCAGGTGGCATGGCTGTGAGTTCCTGCACACAGGTGGAGAAATGCTTGCAGCACAGACAGAACTGCTGTGCGCCTTGGGGCTCCCACAGGGGAGGGAGTCTCAGGAGCCAGAGAGGGCGAGTCTGGACTTATCAGGGAAGCCACACCTATGGTCCTGACCACAAGGGCTAGGTCAAGAGCAGTGAGAAGGGTTTACCTGCGTGATGGGGAGGTGTCGGGGGAGGTGGCTGACCTTGGGGCAGGTAGTTGGGGGTGTCCAGGAGCCTGAGAAAGGCTGGGATGTGGGTGGGCTCTTGGGGTTCCCAGTGCCTTAGAACATGGACCCCTCGAGGACCACGTGCCTGCTTCTGAAGGGTGGTGGTCAGGACAGAACTGAACTGAGACTCCTAGGAGGGACTGGATTCTAGATCAGTCATGCATGAAAAACTGCGAGGATTTCGAAAACTAGAGTGAAAATGAAAGCGGAGTGGCAGGGGCGGGGCCTGGGGGCAGTGCTTTCCCAGCAGGATAATCCTGCGTCCTGCCTTTCCCCGAACCAGCTGTAGCAGTGGAGAACACACTCCCTTCCTGTGTGAACAGGTAAGTCTCTGAACCCTTGGGTGTCAGTTTCTGCCCTTCGTGGAGGCGTGAGTGTGGGCTTTGTAGCCGTCACTGTGTCCAAAGTAATGAGCTTGGGGGGGGGGGGGGTGTCGGGATTGTTCCGCGGTGCCAGCCTGTCTCTCAGGAGTTGTCATCTGGGACAGATGGACAGGACTGACTGAGTATACAGCCCGGCCTGGCAGCCCGCTACATTCAGACCTGAGCAAGGCTGGGGAGTGGCAGGAAGGAGAAGGCACAGATGGCTGGGATCTAGGCGAGCTGTTCAGAAAACGTGGGAGTTGACCACTGCCCATCCCTTCCTTTCCCCAGAGAAGAGGAAGTTGTCCCAGATATAGAGAGAGCCAGGCTCGCCAGCTCCCGACACTGCATCATGGCCGTGAGACAGAACTGGACTCCAGGTAGGACATGGGCTGTCTCTGCAGGTGGGGTGGGAGTCCGTGAACAGAGCGGAGCAGTGAGCTGCCTCGGAGCGTTCACCCCGAGTGAACTCTACCCAGCCTCCCCATCGTGCTGTTGCTGTAAGCCTCTATCCAGATGCTGTGGCCCCATGCCAGGGCTTCCCTGTACTCTATTCAGAAAGCCCAAGGACTGGGGCTCTGCCTGTCCGATTCCCTGGCCAGAGCTGGGGAGTTAACAGCCTTAACAAGCAGCAGCTCCGTCTTGAGTGGAAACAGGAGCCGGAGTGCCGGGCATAAGCAGGCAGCTTAGCTGCCAACCTCTGTGACTGTCCTCTCCCAGAATCCAGGACTTTGTGGGTCTTGCTCCTGTGTTCCCACACCATCACACTCCTGGCCAGAGCCACACCTACACCTCAGAACATCGCAGCTGCCCCTGGCCCAGTGTTTCCAACAGCTAAGCAGTGCCCAGCACTGGAGGTGACCTGGCCAGAGGTGGAAGTGCCACTAAGTAAGTATCAATGTTGGGAGCCTAGCCAGGGCACAGGGCTGAGAGGGCGGCTTTGGGTTCCAAGTGTCCAAAGGTTCTCTTAGCCCTACCCTTACCATGTGCTACCAGCCAGGGCCACTTGGCTGAGCGCCCCCATTCTCTCTCCCAACCTGTTACCATGGCTGTGGACTTGGTAGTTCCCGGGATGCTCCCTAGCACATGGGGCTGAAAGGACTGACATAAAGAATGGTCATAGGACCTCCAAGACCCTTCACTGTCCTCCCAGGCCCGGTCCCACCCCCCAGCACTTTTTAGCCCCGTGGCCACCTCAGGGGAGTAGCAGCTGCTTGTGCTGCCTGCCTGGCCTTCTGGGTCTGAGCAGGGCACTAGAAGTAGTCATCACATGAGCTGGGGACCCTTCCCCAAGTTGTAGACAGCTGTACTTGCCCTTTAACCCCTTCCCCAGCCAGGGGGCCACTGGGGTTCCTGACCTGGGGGCAACGTGGGGAGCTGGCAGGTCGCACAGCATGGCAAGGGGACGGCTTGCTGTGCGCGAGGGTTAACTGCTGCCTCTGTCCCCAGATGGAACGCTCGCCTTGTCCTGTAGCGCCTGCAGCTACTTTCCCCACTTCCACGCCCTCTACTGGCTCGGTAACGGTTCCTTCATCGAGCACCTCCCGGGGCGGCTGTGGGAGGACAGCACCAGGTGAGGGCCGGGCCGCAGAGGGAGGCCTCGCCCTGTGGCCCTCTCATGACTGTCTGACCCCTCTGCTCCAGACGGCAGCGCAGGAGCAGAAGCACCTGGCTGTGGAAGGCCTTGGTGCTGGAGGAGCTGAGCCCCACCCTGCGCAGCACCAACTTCACCTGTGTGTATGTGGACCCTGCACAGGTTGCCCGGCGCCACGTTGTCCCAGCCCAGCTCTGGGTGAGGATCCAGGGTCCAGAGCTCTGCTGGGGGGGGGGGGGGGGGCTCTGGCAGAGCAGCCCCAAGCTAATAATGCCCACCATTCCCAGAGGCCAGCCTGCAGTGTAAACAAAGAGGAATGAATTTGGGCTCGGTGAGGCATGACCGAGGCATGACCTAGAGGAAGGTGACAGATTCTCCCATCCCTTGGTCCTGATCCTTGCCTACCTTCGCTTCTGCAGGCTGCGCTGAGGACAGCCCTGCCCTCCAGCCGAAGCCCAGCGCCACAGCTGTCCACATCAGCAGAGTCAGGACTCAGCACAGCAACAGCACAGCCTTGACCAGAGCCTGCGGAGCCCCCTCCCTGGAGAGTGAGCAGAGGCCATGCAGGCGAACGGCAGCTCCTCCTCATCCACCTGGAAGATCTCAGTAATCCGTGTGCCTCCTCGTCCCGAGTCTCTGTACTCTGTCTTGTTCAGAAGGCCTGGTGGTGCTTAGTAGCCATGCACACAAAGGCCCTGCCTACGTGACTTTCCCAGCCCCGAAAGCTTGTTGGAATGCAAACAACCTCCACACTTGGAGCTCTGGCCACGATCTGAACTGACTCCATGCTGTATAAACCATCTTCTCAGTGCTGTTACTCTCGTGGCCTGTTCCGGGGAAGGGAGGGGCAGTGGCTGCTTCTGATCTGCAACTCTACTTTCTCATCCCCAGCCAGGCCCATGCTGGGTCTTTGTAAAGGATTACGCGACGCAGGCATCATAACATCTGCTCACTCAGCCCTCAGTTCCGCTCACAGGACAGCACTCAGAAACTAGAGACAAATCCAGGTCCTTGGAGAAAAAGAGAAAGAGAAGGTGAGGGCGGATCCTGGGGAAGTGTGGTCCCAGGAGGAAGGCTCTGAGAGCAGACACTAGAAGGCTTCCTCCCCTTCCCACACCCATCAAGGCAGCTCAGCACTCAAGGGAGAAAAATAGACTTTATTTACAAGTAATAACATTTAGAAAAGATCCATCCCTGGCCCTTAAAAACCTTCCCATCACTCCAAATCCCACCCCAGTGCAGGTCTGAGGAAGGTATGGCGTGAGCTGCCATTGAAGGCTGCCCCCACACCACCCACCCCGAGACACAGGGCCCCTCTGTCATGGAAGACAGCATCCTCTGGGCAACTATGTCCTTGGGCGAACGTGGGCAGCCGGGGGCGCTCCCACAGCTTGTGCCCAGTCCTAGGCTTCATAAGCGCCCGCCCTTGCTGGGCGCAGCCACCAGGAGCAGCAGGAGCCAGAGCTTGCTGCTGCAATGGTCCCTTCTAAATCCAGAGGCTGAGAGGAAGACTGGCTGGGCCCAGGCATCATCTGGTTGCGACGGAGAAGTCGCTCTGCTCTAAGAAAAAAAATCAAGAGGCAAGGTAGGGAGAGCCCACGCTGTCCAAGCGCCAGGCCTCCCAGGCCAGCTCTGAGAAGGCGCCCACGAAGGTCCAGGTACAAGCAGGCATCACTGTCTCCAAGGGTTTGGCCACCACTGGCCTGGGAGCTGAGAGAAGGCACTGAGAGGGACAGGAGGAGAAAGCCTGGGCGAGGGCAGCATCAGGGACACAGGTGAGACCGCTCACTGGTGCTGGCCCTTTAGTGCTTTGCCTGAAAGAGAGAAACACAGTCACATGGCTGGGTGAGACTCCTGTGTCAGCCTGCAGCAGCTTGCCCCCCAAGACCTCTCTGCTCCAGTCTGGGATCACCTCATTCGTGGGCCTAGACACATCCAACTACAGGTTACCAGCTGCTGGCCACAGGTAGCTGCAGTGAGATGACATCCTCAAAAATGAGCCAGGATAGGGGACACCATTACCCCTCTACTGACTGGCCAAGCTCAGGCCCGTCTTGAACGCTGCCCCCTGGGGACAACTGGAAGGTGCCTATGCTCTCGTCATCTTCCCCCCTCCCTCCTGGCCAATGCCTCTACCTTGCCCTTGGCCCGAGGAGTGGCGGTGGTGGTGGTGCTGGCTGTGGTGGTGGCAATGCGTGGAGAGCGGCGGGTTCCACTGCGGGTGTTGGGGGAAGCCTTGGCTGGGGCCTTCTTGGAGGCCCCCCTCCGCAGAAGGCTCGTCCCCAGCTTCTTGGGTGTGTTGAGGATGCTGAAGGCCATTGACTGGCGCCGGTCAGCCTGTGGGGCAGGGACGTCAGACTGGGTGCTGCACCACGCCCTCCAGGCCAGCCTGCTGCTCCACCGTCCCTGCATCCGCGCCTTCAACCCCAGCCTGACCTGTTTAACAGCAGCCGCAGCCGCTTTCTTGGGGGCCTCAGTAGTGCTCTGTCTACGCCCTTCGTGTCGGTCCCGGGGAGTCATGGGGCGTGGGAAACAGCTGGTGGCCTTCTTAGACTAAGGGGAAGCAGACAGATGGACAGATGTGGCAAGAGGACGGCACGTGCCAAGCCAGGTGTCTTGGCATCAAACAAGCAGACTTAGAATCCACTTGTCCAACCCGCTGCCCTCCCCAGCAAGGCCAGAGGCTTCCCCGATGATCCAGTTTTCAAACTTGGTGAGCTGGACTTGACCTGGGCACTAGTGTAGCCTACCTCAGGAGTGCCAGGGCCCTGGTGGGTCTCTAACGAGACTCGTTTGCGCTGCTGCCGGGTGGTGATACCGGTGCCCTCGGCGATCTGCGCCGGCTGCATGCTGGCTCGGCGCAGGGTCTCCCGGGGATCCCCAGTTTTCATCTCCTCGTCTGTGATGGTGGCCAGACTCAGGGATGGCTGCAGGGGTGGAAGCAGCAGTCAGTGGACCCCAGCTGGGGCTGCCTTAGAACTCCAGGGACCTAGCACCTGGGCAGCTGGACCTCGCTCTCTACGGCGGCCTCCCTTGTTCTCTGCCTGTGCCCTGAATGGATGGCTCTGAGAAGAGCTGTCCTCAGCGGACACTTCTCAAGCTTCTGCCCAACCGCGACGTCACCCTGAGCTCCCTCCCCGCCACCTCTTCTACCTGCAAGCACAGGGTCACCCTGCTCGCAGGCCACGGGCCTGTTGCTGCTGGATGGGGTGGGATAGCCAGCGGGGGAGGGAGGACCTGTATGTGACCCAGTGCTCACCCTGGACTCCAGGGGATAGCAGGTCTTCAAGTGTGGGGGGCACACTCGATTGCGCTGCTGCAACTCTGCGATGCGGTTCCAGTCTTCCAGCTGCTCGGGCTCATCCTGGCAAGTGCCCATATAGAAGCTGTTCCTTCCTGTGGAAGGCCGAGAGTGCACAGGGCTGGAGCAGGCAGGTGCCAACGTCCCTTCCACCTCCCCAAGAGGCTTCAGGCCTAGTCCCCTGGCGTCTTGCTCAGACTCAGTGCTGCAGGTCAGGATGGGGCGACAGACCACTTCCATCACAGAGACTTGCTCACTGCGCTCTCCCTGGGGCTGGGGAGAGGGGTGGGGTTTGGAGACTTGTTGCCCATCACCCAGAGAAACCAACTGAGCGCCAGGAATTGATACTGGAGGCTCCAAGGAGACACAAGTGTGAGATTCTTGGGGCTGGTGCTGTGGCATAGCAGGTAAAGCTGCCACCTGCAGTGCTGGCATCCCATATAGGCGCCAGTTCAAATCCCTGCTGCTCTTCCAATCCAGCTCTCTGCTATGGTCTGGGAAAGCAATGGAAGATGGCCCAAGTCCTTGGGCCCCTGCACCCACGTGGGAGACCAGGAAGAAGCTCCTGGCTCCTGGCTTCGGATCGGCACAGCTCCAACTGTTGCGGCCAGCTGGGGAGTGAACCAGCAGATGGAAGACCTATCTGCATAACTCTGACTTTCAAATAAATAAATCTTTTTAAAAAGTGTGAGATTCGAAGACTCCTAACAGCTAAGTGTCTCACATGCTGGGCATCCTGGCCCTCAAAGGAGCATCCCTGGTTCACCCTCACTGAGGAGGTCGCAGCACAGCCCCAGACAGGCAAGCGCCTGCAACTGGAAGGCAGCAAAGAGACCAGCTGTGGTCTCCCTGTGCCAGGGGACACTCGGGGGTGGCGAGTCCTCAGTCCCCTCACCTGGAGGGGCCCCGCTGGACACCCCTGCCTGAGAGCGGCGAGCAGAGCTGCGAGTGGTAGGCCGGTAGCCAGGCAGGCTGAGGAGAGCTGCGTTGCCATCATCAGGAGAGCCCAGGCGGGCCAGAGACTGGGTGGAGGAGGCGGCGCGCGGGCCAGCCTGGGAAGCGGGGGCAGACTGCGTGCTATAGAAGGACGAGTTGGCGCTGTCCGGCTCCTCCACGTCGAGCTTCTGGAAGACAGGATGCATCTGCTGGGGCGGGTGGGCAGGGGAGGTCGGTAGAGAAGCCTCCCCTCCCCTCACGTTCGCCTGTGTTCTCGGCTTGCACATCTCCAAGAGACAGACCCTGCTGCCACAAGCCCTCACAAGGGGCTGAGGCGGTCAAGAGCTTTCCATGCATTTTTTTCACTGAGTCTATTAACAAGACTTCAATGGAAGAAGGCAGAGCTAATGTGCAAAAAAGGAAATGTGCCTAGCCCCAATCCCACAGCTATGACAGGGCGAGCTGGGGCTGGAACCCATGTCAACTGAGCTGTTCACCCCACGCTTCCCAGGACCTGGGCCTGTCCTTTCTCTAGCTGCTTGGTTTCCCAGGGTGCCCTGTACCTGTCCTCTCCTCCCCAATCTCCTGTTGGAGACCAGGAAACACAGGGCCCAGAGCCTGAGAGGCCACGATACATTCCAGCTGTTTGGGCTGTGCTCAGACACACAGGAACAGTTCCGCGTGGAGAGGACACGGGATGGAGTCAGGAGACTGGGAGGCCCTAAGCAAATCGCTGCCCTTTGGAACATCTCAGCTCTCCCATCTGTGTCACGGCCTGAGGACGCCGTGAGTGTAACTCCTGCAGCCCCACTCCCGGCAGCCTGACCTTGGTCATGGTGATGTTGATGATTTGCGTGGTGCGCCGGCGAGCAGAGCGGGTCTTACGGCTCGAGTCCAGGAAGACATCCCCCAGGGAATCCAGGCTGCTCTCCAAGGGGGGCTGACCCCGGGCAGGGATAGGGGTGAAGTAGAGGCTCTCCAAGGATTCTACCTTGGGGGGCAGGCGCTGGGAGATGGGCGAGGCTGGCTCTCCAGGAACGCTGGTGCCATCTGGCTGGGTACGGGGCAGCTTGCTGTGGGAAGGCAATCTGCTGAGGTGTGGTTCCTGGGCCTGGAAGGCATTTATCCATCCCTCTGCTCCCAAGTGACCATCTCCCAGCCTTACAAGCAGATGGGGTCAAGCACAGCTCTGGTTTTTCAGCAGTACCTGGGCCCTCCTACTCAATCCACTCCCATAGCTTCTCCTAGCACCTTCACACTGGCAACTTAGAGCTCTGTGCCTCAGCCAGCTGTCCCATCACCCCTGATGCCCGCTCCTGCACTTCCTGCTGCATGTCCTACTTCACTGGGTGCTAGCACCCTCCACCCTGGCCCCCAAGCCACAAACATGGGCCCAGTCCTACCTCGTCCCTCTCCTGCCAAGCCTAACTGCCATGCCTCCTAAGCAGCTCTAACTGCACCCCTCTCCGTGCTCCCCACCTTCGGGGGGCCCTCATCTCCTCTCACCTAGACTTAGGACGGCACTGGAAAGAGGCAGCAGACTGGTGACAAGCAACAACTTGGGCCAGGCTGCCCCGGTTCAGACCCTTGTTCTACCACTGTGGAACCTTGGGCAAGAGCCCGCCCCCTATCGCGGTTTCAGTCTTGCCATTCTAGGAGATGCAACAGAGAGCAGCTATCCCAGAAGGCTGCCGGGGGCAGTGATCAGTTCTAATTGTGCACAACAGCGTCTGGCACACAGTAAGTGAAATATAAGTGTTAGTGAAAACAGTAAATGTCTGTCGTGCTGTAACCGCTCCACTAGCTTTCAGAATCATCTAAGATGCAGACGTAGCAGGAACTCCTCTCGTAGGTGCCTTGGTGCCTTCAGGATCAAGTCTCAACACCAGCCTCCCAGGGAAATCCAGCTGCCTGATGCAATCCTGGGGCGTCTCAGCTCTGTGCGTGCTGCTCCCTCCCGTCCACCCACTGCACATACCTCTGGGTTCTTCAGGACCAGCAGGTGCAACAGCCTTGAGCTTTTCCTGACTACTCACTCCTCTACTCCCACTGTGCCCTAAACAGACATCCGACATTACACCTGCTAAGCTTTAAGAATAAACTTCCAGAAGGCAAAGGGACCACACCCTCCTTCTCTTGGCAGCTCCAGGGCCCGGGATGCAGCCTGAGCAACAGTAGGCACGTGATGAACAAGACTTAGGGTAGAAGGGTGGCTCCTGACCTGGTGATACTCAAGGGGGTCCCCTCCTCGCAGCTCAGATCCAGGCTGTCAATACTCAGGTCCAGCTGGGGCTTAGCCTGGGGCTCACGGCTCTTTAAGGCATCAGTTGCCACCTGGAACCTTCCTAGGTCTCGAAGCTGCTGGTCTGCGTGAGCGACCTGGGAAGGAGACAGCCAGAAGGAGACTGAAGAAGAGCCCAAGGCAAGGGTGGCTTATGGGAGGAAGACAAAGACATAGTCAGATGGCAGAGGCACGCCTGTCCAGCAGAAACTGACCTGCGCCTCCAGGCTGCGCACCTGCGCGGTGAGGTGGCGGCAGGTCTGTTCAGCCTCCTTGGTCTTCAGCCCAGCCTGCTGCAGCTCACGGCCCAGCCGCTCTGCCTCAGCCCGCAGCTCCTTGTTCTCCTTCTGCAGCTGCTCTAGGCCTCGCAGCTGCTCCTGCAGCTCTTGGTTCTGCTGCTTCTTGGCATCATAATGGGTCTTGGCTTTTTCCATCTGTGTGGGTAGCGGGTGCATGGGTGGGGTTGGGCAGAGGCTGAGGGCAGGGGGATGGGGCAGAGAGGGTCGTGCTGGGCTCCTTACCTGGAGCTTGTAGTGCTCAGCTGCCTGCTCCTTCTGGCTCAGCTGGGCCTGCAGCTCGGCCAGCTGGGCCTGGAGGCGCTGGGCCTCCTGCTGGCTCTCGCCTCCTTGGGCCTGGAAAGCCTAAGAAGAAAGGCAGCAAGGCTGTTCTCGCTGCCCCAGCCTCGTGGGCTCCACGGGCGTTCCAGGCTCCTGCACGTCCTCAGAATGCTGCAAATGATCCTCTCACCCTCCCACAGACATGTCCAGTCTACCGTCTGCAGGGGCGTTCCCACAGACATGTCCAATCTACCGTCTGCAGGGGCATTCCCTAACCAGCTCACACCACTGCTGCCACGGACAGTTCTGACGTCACTGCCATCTGTGAGACCACATGTGGCGTCTCCCCTTCTCCATCTGCACAGCCTCCTCAAAGAGGAAGGGGAACTGGTCCTCAGGGAACAGCGGGTGTGGGGCATGGAGCCACGGAGGTACTTGGTGTGTGAACTCATTTCTCCTCAAACCTACTCTGAAAAGTAGCTTTAGCCTCATCCCAGAGAGGGAAACTGAATTCAGACTTATGCGGACCGACCAGGGTCACAGTGACTAAATGGCAGAGCAAATGGGCCCAGTGCCTATGGTGGCTGGCTGTGTCCCAGCAGCCTCCTGGATCCAGACCGAAACTCCAGAGCCGGGCATGATCCTCTGTCCAGCTTCAACGCTGGCAAGTGCTTAACCTGTTGTGGGTCCCGGAGGGGAGCATCCTGCCCTTGCCTCTCTTCCAGCACAGGGCAGGCCCCAGAAAGAGTGCAGTCAGGACAGGGATGGAGGGGATGGCAGTGAGTCCCAAAGCCCCTGGTACCCAGTTTCTTTGTCCTCAAATAAAGGCCCTGAAGCCTCAAACCACAGCAAATATTTAGTCACAGAAGGTGACAAGGTTGAAGTCATTAAGAATACCGTTACAGGGCTGGCGTTGTAACGCAGCGGGTGAGGCTGCCACCTGTGACGCTGGCATCCCATAGGGGTGCGAGTTGTGCCCTGGCTGTTTCACTTCTCATCCAGCTCCCTGCTAACAGCCTGGGGAAAGCAGAAGATGGCCCAAGTGCCTGGGGCCCTGCATCCACATGGGAGACCTGGTTGAGGCTCCTGGTTCCTGGCTTCAGCCTGGCTCAGCCCTGGCCTTTGTGGCCAATAGGGGAGTGAACCAGTGGATGGAAGACCTCTCTCTCTAATTCTGCCTTTGAAATAAATAAATCTTTAAAAAAAAAAAAAAATGGCCTGGGCAAAGCAGCAGAAGATGGCTCAAGCGCTTGGGCCCCTGTCACCCATGTGGGAGACCTGGAAGAAGCTCCTGGCTCCTGGCTTTGGCTTGGCTCAGCCCTGGTCTTTTCAGCCATCTGGGAGGTAAACCAATAGATGGATCTCTCTGTACCTTTTTCAAATAAATCTTTTAAAAACATACAGATTGCCTGGTACTGCTCAGGGCTGACACTGCCACACCCTGAGCTCAGGCTACTGAGGCCAGCACTATCCAACAGAACCTTCTGCCCTGCTAAAATGTTTGCCACCTGTGCTGCCAGTTGGTAACCCTCGCCATGCGACACTACTGAGCAGGGGAAATGCAGCTGGTGTGAGTGAAGAGCTGATTTTCTGTTTACTCTGAATTCAAATCTAAAGAGCCATCCAAAAGCAGCGGCTGCTGCAGTGGGCAGTGAGGTCTAGTGGGATGGGACACAGGCAGAGGCTCCTGAGCCTACGCAGGCCGCCTCTGCCCCCACTCCCACCACAGCCCAAGGGCTTCCGAGGCACCTCCCCTCCCCCAGCCTCACTGTGAGGCAGCCAGAGGTCAGGCCCGTGCTGCCCGCCCCCAGCTGTCCCACCTTCAGCTTCTGCTGCTGCATCTTGTTGGTCTGGTCATAGTCAGCCAGCTTCTTACTCAATTCTTCCAGCTGGGGAGGAAAAAGAAGGGCAGACTCAGGAGGCCTTCCCCTGTATGTCTAGCCAAGCTACGGGAAGTCCCCGGACCACCACACCCAGTGTTCTTAGAAGAAGAAACTCAAGCCTTCTTTCTGGCCTCCAGTTAGGGCACAGCCTGATGCCCAGCTGGCTGGCAGGGCCTGAGTGAGGCAGCACACCACACCGATGTTGCCAGGCCCACCTGCCCAGCCCCTCACCCGCCCCTACCCTGCAGCCACCAGAGCTGGCAGCACTGGCTCCTCACCACCACCCAGTTCCTGCCACTGCTCCCCAGCCACCCTTCCCAAGCTGGGGTAGGAACGGGGGCCTGGCCTCTAACTAGCAGATGCACTCAGTGACTGCCCACCCCGCCTGCCACCCAGACACTGCCAAAGCAGAGGCCCACAGATGCTCAGACCTCGTCCCACACCCACAGGCTGTTAGGGCTGCTGCTAGCAGTGTGGCTGCTGTGTAACATCAGCATTAGGGGAGAGACCGCTGGAGACGAGAGCAGGGACAGCACACATCCTCCAAGCCCGCCCCACGGTCCCACAGAGAGAAGAGCAGAGCGAGGCGGGGCAAGAGGGAAGGCAACAGCCACAAGCAGCCCTGGCTCGTCCAGGCATTCCGGGAGTTCACACATGACCAGACAGCAAAGGGGAGAGGCAGGGGCTCCACCGCTAACTGTCTGCTGTCCAATCTGACTTCTCATCCTCGGGGGCTCCTTGGAGGTGAGAGAAGGGGGTCCCAGTCCTTAGCAGGCTCGAGGAGACTGGGGAGGAGGATGGTAGAGAAAGGTGTTCTCACAAACACCAGTGCAACAGCCTCAACGCCCTGGAGCAGAGAGAGAGCTGTGAGGAAGAGCAGTCCAACCCTGTGTCCCGCCTCGGGGCAGAGCCCACCTGCTCCTCTCCACGTCTCTCCACTATGCTTAGGGTGCAAGCTGCAGAGCGCTGGGCGGCCTCCTGGACCCGCACCCTCCCTAACCCTGTACATCTCTCTCCTTCATGGCTTCAATAAACCCGCACTCCGTGGGAAAGAAGAGTGCCATGAAAAACAGGGCCCTAGGTACCTGATATCCCTTAGTCGGATGTCCCTAACCAGAAACAGGACTTGGGAGGCTCTGGAATCCCAGGGACTGAGGTCGTCAGGTATGGGAAAGATGACACCTATGCTACCTCTTTCCTTGACAGGAAGCTGAGAGAAAAGTGCAGTAGGGTGGAGAGGCCGACCTGGGATGGGTGGGATGAGGCCCCGGGGGGGCCAGCACACTGCACTCCTGGGCAGACCCTGCCCCCTTCACAAACAGTTCACAACGGGAGCTGGCGGAGGCAAGCTGCAGCCGGGGTCATGCACCGAGACTGGTCACCGCTTAAGCAGCCAGCATTTAGCGAGAACCCCAGGCATTACCTGCTTAGTCTGCTCTCTCTGAAATACCTCTAGCTGCTCCACCTGTGCACGGGGGAGGAGCAATGGAGACAGAGTGAGATGGGGGCCAAAGAGGCACCAGGCTGAGCTCACTGGGGCTCTGGTACTTTCCCCCAGGGAACTACACTTCAGGCTGTTTTAGAAAATGCCAGTTAGGCTTCTTCTAGGTCCCAGTGGCTCCTGGGACCTCCAGGGCAGCTGTTCCTCTGCAATGGGTTGGTGGTGCTCCCAACTATCCAGGCACGGAGCCCCCAGGTAAGGGAGACCACGGGTATTTTCTTTAGGACTACAGAGGCTTCACTCTTGAGCTCTACCAACCGCCTCTCCTTTTCAGCCTCCAGTGAAGGAGACAAGCAAGACCCTGCGGTGTGGGAGCCAGCAGCCCCAGAACACAGAGGAACAGTGTCCCTGCCCCCTCAGGTCCACAGCTCTGAGGATGGGGGAGCCGGGCACGGTACCTGGGCAGTGAGTTTCTGTCTCTCTTCCTGGAACCGCTGCCTCTCCTCCAGGACCTTGGCTTTGGCACCCTCATACTTCGCAGTCATCACCTCCAGCTCCCGAGCAGCGCTCTGGGCTTCCCGCTGCATCTCAGCCAGGCGGCTCTCAGCATCGGCCCGCACAGAAGCCAAGTCTTGGACGTACTTCTCCCGGGCCTGGTCCAGCTCCACTTCCAGGAACTGCCGGCCAATGCTGACCCGCTCGCCCAGCCCCCGGTTCTCCTCTGCCAGCAGGCCGTGGGCCTTCTTCAGCATGCTCAGCTGCTCAGCATAGCTGGCCTTCTCCGCCCGCAGCTGCTGGGCTGCGCGCTCCTGCTCCGCCACCTTCTGCCGCAGGGGCCCCAGCTCCCCGAGCTCCCGCTGCAGCCGCATCAGCTCTGCCCGCAGCCCACCGGCTGCCTGCTTGCTCTGCTCCAGCTCTTCCCGGTGCCGTTTCTCGGCGGCTGCCTGCTCGGCCTGCAGCTGCTGGCAGAGGTGCTTCGCGGGCAGCAGCTCGCTCACCAGGGCCTGGGTGCTGGTGTGCTCCAGCTGCAGGGCGGACAAGGCCTGCTCCTTCTGGAAAAACTTCTCCTGCCAGGCCTTCAGTTCCTGGCCCAGCTCCTCGGCTCGCTCCGCCTGCGAGGCCAGCTCCTGCCGCAGGTTCTCTGAAGCCACGCGCTGCTTCTCCGCCTCCTCCCGAAGGCTCTGCACCTCCTCCCGGAGGGCGGAGCTGCGCTCAGCGGCTCTGGCACTGCTGCTGGCTGTCTCAGCCTGGAGGAGGCGCAGCCGCTCTTCCAGCTTCTGGCTCTTCTCGGACTCGGCTATCACCAGTCGCTTCAGCTCCTTGCTCTCTCCCTCTTTCTCCAGGACCTGGCGGTTCAGGATGGATACCTCCTCCTCCAAGCTGCTGATAAAGCTGTTTTTTCTCTCGGCCTCCTGCTGGCTGCGGGCCACCTGGGCCTTCCACTCATCCTCAGCCTTGCTATGGTCTTGGGCTTTGGCACGGAGGGTGGCCAGCTCCCTCTGGGCCGAGGCTAAGGAGCCCTGACTACGTCCCAGCTCCTGGGTCTTCTCCTCTAACAGGCCCTGCAGCGTCTCCAGAGCCCGGTCTCGCTCAGCCCGGGAGGCCCGCTCGGACTCGAGGCTGTGTGCCAGGCCGTCCACCTGCTCCTGCTGCAGCTGGCGCTGCTGCTCCAGTTTACGCACCTCTGCCTGCAGCGCCTCCAGCTCGGGGCCTGCTGCTTCCGTCTTTCCGGCAGCCTGAGGCGCAGCACCTGAGCTGGAAGCACCCTCTCCACTGGCCGGCCCCAAGGACTGCTCCTTCTCCCTCTTGGCCAGCTGCTCCTTCAGTTGCTCAACAGTTTGCTGAAGCTGCCCCAGCTCCGTTCTCTGGGCTGCCTCCTGCCCACGCAGCTTGGCCAGCTCCTTGTCCTTGTCGTCCTTCTCGGCCACGGCACGGGCCAACGTCTCCTGCAGGGCAGCAAGCTTCACGTGCTGCTCATTGAGGGCGTTCTGCAGCCGCATCTCCAGTTCCGCCTTGGCTGCCTTTTCCAGCGCCAAGTCGGCTTGGGCCTGGCCCCGCTCCTGGGTCAGCCGTGCCACCTCCCTCTCCTGCTGCCCGCGCTCCTCCTGCTGCTGGCCCTGGCTCTCCATCAGTGCGGCACGCAGCCTTTCCAGCTCGCTGCCCATCTGCTCTGCCTCACGCTCCATGGCCTGCAGCGCTGCCTGTGTGCTGCAGAACGGCCGGCCCTGCTGCTCCTCCAGCCACTCGGGCTCTCTGTCTCCTGCCCCCGGGGACTCCTTGAGCAGCTCTCGAGAGGCGGTCTCCTGCTGCTCACCGGCCTTGCGCACCAGAGTCTCCAGGCGCGCCACCTCCTTGCTGGTGGAAGCCATCTTCTCCTGCAGAGCGGAGAGGTCGTCTGCAAGCTTCTGGGCCCTGCCCTCCTTCTCCTGGACCTGCTGGTGGGCTCTGGCCAGGCTGGCATGCAGCTGGGCAAGCTCACTCTGCTGCCGGCTCATCTGCAGCTCGCTCTGGGCTTCCATCCCAGCCACCTTCTCCTTCGCCTCCCGCAGCTCCTGGCGGGCCTTCTCACACTCCTCCTTCAGGGTCACCAGCTGCTCCTGCAACATGGCGCCGTGCTGCGCCTCCTCGCGCTGGCTCTCCTCATAGCGCACCCGCCAGGCGGCTGCCTCCTTGCCGAGCTGCTCACACTCACTCTCAGCCCTGCGCTGGGAGGCTTTGGCCTCCGCCAGCTCCTGCCGCAGAGCCTCACTCTCAGCCTGATGGGCCTCCCCCAGCTGCTGTAATCGGGCCTCCAGCCCCCTGCGCCCAGCCTGCTCTTCCTCCAGGTCCTTGCGCTCCTGCTGCTGCTGCTCCACCAGGCGCCGAGTCTCTGCCTTCAGCTCAGAGACACAGCGCTGCTGCTCCCCCAGGGCCTCGGCGGCCCTGCGCTTCTCTTCTTCAAGGCTGCCCTGGGTGACTTTCAGGGCCTCCTCCAGGGCCCGCAGCTGCTCCTGGAGCTGGCCCTTCTCCTGGGCCACCCTTTCGTGCTCAGTGGCTCTTTGCTGCTCAGATCTCAGTTGGGCCCCGAGCTCTGCCACCTGGGCCTGGGCCTCGTGCTGCTCCCGGTGAGCCGCCTCGACACAAGCCTGGAGTTCCTCTACCTTTTGGCTCAGCCCTGCCTTCTCTTGCTGAGCCTGTGTCACCGAGGCCAGGGCACCATCCCGGGCTTCAGTAGCAGCTTGCAGCTGCTGTTGCAGCGTCTCGAGCGCGGCAGCCTTCTCCTGTCCCAGTGCCTCCAGCTGCTGGAGAACCGAATCCCGCTCCCTTAGGTGGGCCTCTCGCTCCTCGGCAGCTCTGGCCAGCTGCTGGGCATGATCTCGCCGGGCTGCCTCCTGCTCCTTAGCGGCCTCCTCCAACTGCTGCTCCTTCTGTTTCAGGCTGCTGCTCAGCTGCTCCACCTGCTGGCGGAGGCCTTGGGCAGTCTGCTCTTGCTGTGTGAGGCGGGCCTGCTCCGTCTGGGCCTGCTGCTTTAGGCTGGCCAGCTCTTGATCCTGCTGCTGGAGGGTGGCCTGGAGTGTGGTGCGCTCTGAGGTCAGAGAAGCCACCTGGGCGCTCAGCCGGGCCCCCTCAACCTGGGAGGCCTGCTCCAGCTCCTCCTTGGCCTGGCTGAGGTTGGAGATGGAGCCCTGCAGGTCGGCAATCAGACTGGCCAACTGCTGCTTTTCTTCTTCAAAGCGGCCCCGCTCAGCAAGCAGCTGTGCTTCTTGCTGGCCCTGCTCAGCCTCCAACTTCTCCACCCTGGCCTGGAGCTGGGTGTTGCGTGCAGCAAGAGAGGCGGCCTCTTGCTTCAGAGTTTCTACCTGGTAGGATGAAGAGACAGTGGAGGGTCAGCATGACTCCCGAGTCACCATGCCCCTCCGGAAGCTGGGGGTGCTGGGGCCCAGCTATGCACGCGGGTCTACTGGCTGCTCTTGGGTTCCTACCTGCAAGACGTCACCCAGCACCTCACCCTTCTCCTGGGGTGGGTTCTCCCTCAGCTGGGCCAGATGCTCTTCCAGCTGTGAAAGCTTTCCCTGAAGGATTTCATTCTTCTCTTCAAGGCATTTCTGGGAGTAAATAAGAGACCAGTGTGAAGAGGCAGAGTAGGCACCAGATTCCCTTATAGCCCCTCCTGAACTCCACACCTCCTGACCAAGACCTCCTTCCCTGGTCTAGAAGAAAACCATAAACCGTGAGCCTGGAACTGCGAGGGACCTGCCTTTCCAGCCCTAATTCTAGAGTGGAAGTCAGTCTTCCTGTGACTGCTTACCTCTCCTCCAGGCTGCTAAGTCTTGAATCCCAGGTTATCTAAACCACCAGAGCTCAGAACATGCACCAGGCAGCAGCAGCAGTGGCAGCCCCAGCCCGACACTGCTTCCCCACCTGAACCCAGCCAGGCTCTGTGCTGGGCACACCTCTGAGCCAGCTTTCCCATCCTCACGGCTGGGGGTGACTGCAGAGCTCAGTGCCCTGCCTGAGGCTACACAGTCAATCACTGGCAGAGCTGGCTTCTCGGGAAGAGCAGTAAGAACAGCAAATAATGCAGGGAGCACTCACTTGACACCACACGACGCAGGACGTGCTGCATATACATGATTTGCCAATGGTAATAAGGCAGCTGCTCATTAGTCCCATTTTAGGAAAGGATGCTTGGAGATACATTAATCTGCCCAAGACCCACATAGGGTCAACAGCAGCAACAGGATGCACGGGGCAGCGACATAAGCCCGCCTCTCTCCATTTTAACACACTACCAAACCCTGAAGAGAAGACAGCAGAGACCCCTGCACGGCAGAGCCGAGCACCAAACAGACATCAGGCCTGCACGTGGGGCGCAGACTGTGGCCCTGCTGCCCCGCAGAGGGTTACCTTGTCCTGCAGGGCTGTGCCGAGCTCCTTCTCCAGGTGGGCCTGCTTCTCCAGCCAGTCCTGAGTGGCCTTGCTGTGCTCCTCTGTCAGTTCGTTGAGGGCACCCTGTAACTGCTGCAGGTGACTGGCGAACTCCCGCAGCTGAGACAGACATGTGGAAATCCCCATCACCCAGGGCCGAAGCTGGCACCACTGCGGCCTGCTTCCTGCACGGAGGGCATGATGCCCCCGGTTATCCTTCCAAGCCGCTCAACCCAACTACTACTAATCAGACTCCGATTCAGGACCACCTGTCAACATGCGGGGCTGCAATCCAGGAGATGGGCCGAACAGGCAGGTCTCTGGGGAGACTAAAGCCTCAGACAGTCCTCAGGCCAGGGTGGTCTTCACAGCCCTCACTTGGGAGCCTCTAGCCCTGAATCCTCCTTGCACAATCCAGACCCCCGATCACCTTGAAGGAAAGGTCCCCGTTCTCCTCGGAAAGCTGGTTAATCTTGCGATCCATCTGGCCCTTCTCCGTCCGCAGGTCCTGGCACTGCTTCAGCGTCTCATGCAGCCGCACGGTGAGGCTGCGAGGGAGAGGGGCAGTGAGAAGCGCGTGCGGCCTTTACTGGGGGCAGGCAAGGATAAGAGGAAGGGCCAGCACACCTCTCATTCTTGCCTCGCAGCTCCTCGAGCTCCCTGGGCTCCGGCGGGCTGGCCGCCTGCTTCTCGCTGAGCAGAGTCAGGCGGTCGATGCGCTGCTGCATCACGGCTATCTGAGCATCTGGCTCGGGGGGGCGGGGAGGGGGAGAAAGTCAGCCCAGAACCACCGGGAGGGCGGGGTGGGGGAGTCTACGGCATCCAATCGAAGGGAATGGGGGATGGGGCAAGGGAGAGGCCAGCCTCCCGGTCAGCCTGGCCTTAAGCCCGGGAGGTGCTCTGAGCATCAGGGCCCTCCGAGGGGACGAGACGGGAGGTGAAGCTGTATCCAGTGCTCCCAAACGCCATGTGGCCACCCGTCTGCCCGTGTGCCAGGCACCCACCCTTCTCGGTGAGGAGCTTGCGGTTCTCCGCCAGCTCCAGCTCCAGCTCATCCCTGTTACTCCTCTCATCTGCGAGCTGCTTCTTCAGCCGTCTCATCTGGAATTGCGGGGTGTGCAGGATGTCGCCCATGGGGGAGGCTGGGGAACCTGAGAGGAAGCTGAGGAAGCAGACGGCCCAGAGCCATGGTAAGAGCCTCACTTGTGAAGCCAGCGACGGGCAGGGACGGGGCAGGGGTCTCGGTGTGAGCACCAGCTGGGAGGACTGAGCACCTGGGCTCTATCTACAGGGCCGCTTCATGCTTCGTGACATGACCTGAAGAAAACTTTTCTTCCCCTCCCCCGTGCCTGGATTTCCTTGTTGCGAAAGCAAACAAAAAAAGGTGATGCTTCCCCCTTGCCTCTGCAGAGCCATGGAGAGAAGGGATTTGACAGTAATACCGAGTGAAGAAGGGCGTTCCATAAACAGGAATCTGCCAGAACAGACCCCAACCAATTCCCCAACTATGCCCTGAGCCCCAGATCAGCAGGGCACTCCAAGTACCCCCTGCTGTGGTCAAGGATTTGAGGACAGGCGCATACTACGGCCCCGTCCCAGGAGAAGAGGCCCAGGACATACTTGTTCCCACTGGAAGAGGAGGCAACCTTCTGTAGCTCTAGGAAGCGAACCTCCCTCTTGGCCTGGTGGCTGGGCGGGGAGAGCTCTTCAGACAATGTGACGGAACAGGCGGAAGGGACAGGAGCTGGGGAAAAGAAGTAGACAAATCCAGAAAGGTTAGGAAGAAGGTGAACAGATCCACATCTTAGTGAAGTCTGAAGACTTGCTGAGTGAAAGGGACTCCATACACTCAATGTCAACTACCAGCGGAGGCACCCGGCCCCAGAGCAGGACCAGTGCTCTTGCCTCTCCTTTAGTCTAGCCCTGCAGGGACAACCTGGGGCCCCTCAACGGGGCCTCCTCACAGCCCAGTGGCCTCTCACCTCAGAGCCTCTGGGCTCCTTCAGAACTCATCCGTCCTGAAACCGCACACCGCCAGCAGGCCTTCCTCAAAACCTTCCCTTCCCTTGGCTCCAAGACCACAACCACAGGACTCGCCTACCTCTCATCAGCCACTCTCAGCCCCTCCCACCTGCTCTTCCCCTTCCAGGAGTCCCCCAGAGGTCTGATGGCACCTCCCTGCTCTGCCCGCAGTGCCTGCATCTTTGATGGCCACCCACACGCGGACTGCCAGCCCTCCCATGCATTTTAGACTCATTCCCAGCATCTCCGCCTGACCTCTCAGGAGGAACATGAAATCCAGCCACTAAAAGCACCTGCCCGTGGATGCTGTCCTCACGAGCTGCTCGCCAGAGCCCTGCAGAACTCTCGCATTCTACTCATCTATCCAGCGCTCAGACCCGGATCCTCACCAGCCTGACTGGTTTCTGAACCTGCTTTCTCACCTACAGTACAAGCTTTGTAATAGGAAAATACTTTTCAAAACAAAACAAAAGACCGCATTCTCAGCTTCTGAGTCTAGACTAGTGATAATTTAAAGAGTGAAAAAGGGGTGGAGTTGTGGCATAGCAGGAAAGCTGCTGCCTGTGACGCCAGCACGCTGTTAGGACAATGGTTGGTTTGTGTTCTAGCTACTCCCACCTCTTTTTTCTCTTTTTTTTTTTTATTTACCTGAAAGGTAGAGTTACAGAGAGGCAGAGGCAGAGAGAGCGAGCAAGAGAGGGAGCAAGAGAGAGAGAGATCTTCCATCTGCTGGTTCTCTCCCCAGATGGCTGCAACAGTCTGAGCTGCGCCAATCCAAAGTCAGGAACCCAGCTTTTTCTGGGTCTCCCATGTGGTACAGAGGCCCAAGGAGTTGGGCCATCCTCCACTGTTTTCCCAGGCCATAGCAGAGAGCTGAATTGAAAGTGGACAAATGGGACTCGAACCAGTGCCCATATGGATGCTGGCACTGCAGACTGGGGCTTTAACCTACTGTGCCACAGCACCAGCCCGGTGCTCCACTTGTGATTCAGCTCCCTGCTAATAGTCTGGGAAAGGAAGCAGAAGATGACCCAAGAGTTTAGGGCCCTGCCACGCATGTAGGAGACCTGGATGAAGCTCCTGGCCCCTGGCTTTAGCCTACTTTGGCGCTGGCCATTGCGGCCATCTGGGGAGGGAACCAGCAGAAGGAAGATGTTTCTCTCCTTGTCTCTCCCTGTCTATAAATAAATAAGTAATCTTTAAAAAAAAAATAAAATAAATAATAAGTGAAAAGAAAAAACAGGGCCAGTGTTGTGGTGCAGTGGTTTAAGATGCTGCCTCTGACACAGGCATCCCATATCAGGGCACCCATTAAAGTCTCTACTGCTCCACTTCTAATCCAGCGCCCTGCTAATGCACCTGGGAAAAGCAGCAGAAAACGGCCCAAGTACTTGGGCCCCTGCCACCTGTGTGGGATACCCAGAAGTAATTCCAGGCTGCTGGCTTTGGCCTGGCGCAGCCCTGGCTACTACAAGTATTTGGGGAGTGAACCAAAGGATGGAAGATACCTTTCTTTCTCTCTCTGTCTCTCTCCTTCTCTCTGGCATTCTGCCTTTCAAATAAATCTTTAAAAACAAATACAGTAGCAAAAGGCACGTGTGGGGTATGTGTTGTGTGTGACCAAGGGCCACCTACGGGCAGACACCACAGCGAATAATCAACTCTCAGCTTCCCTGGGGCTGGCAGCAAGGGGAAGCCCCACAGGGACTGGGAAGGTGGCAGCGTGGCCTAGACCAACCCCTTCTACCACCCACACTTCCCAGGCCCCAACTCTGTGCCCTGTGTGGAGGACAGAAACAACCTGCACCACACTTCTCAACTCAGGAGCCCAGCAGTCCCCAGCCCAGAGATGAGATGCTCAGGAGTGTGTCCCCACTCACCTTTCTGCAGGAAGTTCTCTAGGTCCTCATCAAGGTTTAGCCCATCCTCATGGTCCAGCATAAATTTAAGAATGACAGCTAATTCAGCCTGGGCCACAGAGAGAGGAAAGGAGCATCACTTCAGTGGTAGAGAGGCCTCTGAAGAGATGGCCGCCTGGAGCCCCAGCCTGCCAGGGCCAATCCCAGGTTCTCTGGAATCCCAGGAGCCTCCTGGATCCCACTCTTCCCAGCAAAGCCCAAAGCCCCCAGCCCAGCCAACACTGGATGAGAGACATGTTCACCCCACCTCCCCTCCCATCCTCCCTTAGAGATGCATCAGCATGCCAAACTCTGACCACAAGAGCAGTGAACAGGCAAGGAAGACAATCCAGTCAGAAATCTCTCATAGACAACTAGGCTGGCCTCTTCCAGAAGACCCCACCAGAGAGGAGGAGGCAATAAATGGAGTAGCAGTTTTGTTTAGAGACCATATAGGCACACATACAGCAATACATATATAAAGAGAAGAGTGATTTCTACTAGTGTACACAGCGCACTTAAATGTAAGTATCCCCAGTGAAGGACTTGGAAGCACACACCCTGTGAACAGGTTGCAGCTATCTCTGCAAACAGGATTATTATTCCTTCTTTCTGCTTTTCAGACTTTTCCCCCCAGACTTTCTATAATGAATAGCATGACCACTATCACCATCTCTTTAAGAAGAACAGCACATGCTCTGTGTGGAGCAGAGGCTGGGCCCGACGGGTGGACAGACGCATAAGAGCTCACCTGAATTTTATATTCGAGCTGTTCCCAGTCCCTGAGACTTCTGGAGCTCATGGTGGAGTGATATAAGAGCAGCATGGTCATCTAGAAGCCAAAGAGGAGGCAGTTGCTGAGTGAGGCTCTCTCAGTTTTTAGTACTCCCCCTCTGGCTGTCCCAGAGACACCGGGCCATTCTGGAGACTCTTCTAAAGCTCCTAGAAGCCTGCAGCCTCTGGCCACCATCCTTATCAGCTGCAGAAACACTGTTGCTTCACAGTGAGGACTCAACACACACTGTCAAGAAGCCAGGCGCCAGGATTCCCACACAGTTAAACTTCTGGGCTCATGGAAGCCTAGGTACAAAACTTAAGGCACCCTCCATGGGCCTGCACCCAGCAGGTGCAGAGGGAATGAAGCAGACTGAACCGAAACATTTGACAACAGCAAGCGAGACCTGATTCCTGCCAGGTCTCCACTGAGGCCCACAGTGATGATCTAGGAAACCTGTCAGAGGATGATGGGCCCCTAGAATCCTTGGGCCAAATGAACCTCTGCTTCTGACAGGTGCTACCTGGTCTGACGTCCGACCTCCAAGAGCCCCAGGAATAAAGCACCTTCCCTAGGGTTAAGAGATAGCCTTGCAGCTCCTCAGGTACCAGCCGCCTTCCCCAGTTTGGCAGCCCTCGTGTACCTTGGCTAGTTCCAGCTCTGATCCCTCCATTATCTTCTGCACAGACACCAGACATTCCACAGAAGAAGGGTGTTTTCGGTTTTCTGCAATGACAACAATAAAGAAATTGGGGTGAACTTCCTGGAAATTGTACCTGAGAGCCTTAGAACACCTGATTCTGAGAAGCAACATCCCACGCTATGAGGTGTACAGCTCCCTGTTCTCCCTCCTGTCCTGCCTCACACTTTTCCATCTGAAGTCGATTCTAGTCCGGATCAGTTCCAGGGCTACAGGGCTACAGGGGTGGTGCTCATAGCAGCTTGGGTCATGACTCTGCACTTACCCACCCACTCACCAACTCCCACTTATCACACAGAGAAGGAACCCAGAGATTCCAGACCACTCTTGCCACTACGTCTGCAGACGGCTGGAGAAACTTGACTCTTGTGCCCGAGGGGGACTGGGCTCAGTCACTAACAGCTTACTCCATCCAGATCTGTTCTCACCATTCCTGCGACCCTCCTGAGGTGGAGATGGCAGACAGCTTCCACGTCAAAGGTGAGATTCTGTGGTCCAAGGCCGGACAAGGGGAGGGGAGCTAAGGAACTGTGTTCTTATTTAAGCTATCAACCTGAAGTGCAGATAGGAAGCCTATGTCCAGAAAGGTCACAGGGCAGAGAGAAGAGCCAGGATCTCAATTTAAATCTGACCCTGTCCTCACACCTATCTCCTAGACAGCTGATTCAGAGTTCTCTGGGGGAAAATGGGTTTTTCTTGCAAGGGAAAGAGTGTAACATGGCTCCTTCTCTTTCCTGTTTCCCTGAAGTGGGGTAATAGGAACTCAAGGTAGTTTGAGTCTCAGAAAGCGACCCCCGTGGCTCTCTGAGATGGGCTCTGGGACTGAAGGATGGAAGCATCACAAGACCCCGGGAAGCTGAGTCAGCTCTATTTGTCTCTGGACTAACGAGTAGGGAGCCTTGAGACTTTTCTCCTCCAGATGCACACAAACTGGACAGATAACTGAGAGGTGCTTACTCTGCAGGAAACTGCACACAAAGGCCAATCTCTCTGGCACCGGCTGCTGCAGGATCTGCTGCCCCTCGTCAGTGCTGTGGCTAGAAAAAGAGCAAGGATTAGAACTAGAGTACTTAGCAAGTTTTGCTACTCCTCACACATTACTTCCCCTCCCTGTAGAGCCTCGTCCTCGCGGGGTCTAGGAGAGAAGCCGAGGAGAACCTAAAGGCAGCAAGAAGACACCAGCACACCATTTACGCAGACAGAGACTGTGGGTGAGAAGTGGGGGCATGAGGATTGGGGTCCTGAATGAGATGGCACTGTGCCATCCTCTCTGCAAATATAAAAACGCTCTGTGAGAAAGGGGGCTAAGTGCTGGAGGCAGCACAGACCAATGGGAAGCTAGATTAATTTGTAATAGCTCAACTCTAAAAAGTCAGGAAGCCTAGAAAACACGGTTAGAGTGAGAGTAAAAGAAGCCCATGGGAAGGGACAAACAGGCCCCAGACCTGAAAGAACAGGAGGAAACAAGACTCTGAAGTGACAGGGCAAAGTCCCTACACCTGGCTGAACGCTAAGTGAATACCTCCCAGAGACGGTGCCAAGGGCTCTCAGCCATTCTTGATTAGTGGCTCTTGCATGCACTTACTTGTTTAAGTAGAAGGACAAGCAAAGTGAGAAGACAGCAGTGAGGGGTGAGAGGCAGCAGGGGGAGCTCTCATCCAGCAGGGACCTGACCCTGGCCGCTCCAACTTCAAATTCACTTTCAGAGGTAAATACCACACCACTGCATGTTGAAGAATAGGTGAAGTTACACTTTCAAGCTCAAGCTGACTTCTGTATCTAGGCTACAGCTGGAGTGATGATGAAAGCACCCAAGGGCTCCTCAGAACCAGAACCCTCAGATTCCAGCCAACCTCTGGAGGGGAGCACACGCAGGCCCTAGAATCTTCCAGTGCCAGAGACATCTTGCAAAACACAAGCAGCATCCAAGCCAAGACAATGAGTGTACCTCCCCTCATCTCCCAAGTGACTACACAGGCTTCTTAGTGAATTCCCAATGAGAGACATTCTGGGTAGCTGGTGACTCCTTACTTCAATGTAGAGTAGTATTTACCTAAGTGTATTTCATTAATTAAAAATACAGAGTATTCTCATGTTAACTGAAAAATGCCAGATTAAACCAAACTGAACACTTTCAGGGGCCGGTGCTATGGTGTAGTGGGTAAAGCTACTGCCTGCAGTGCTGGCATCCCATACGGGCACCAATTCAAGTCCCGGCTGCTCCACTTCCTATCTAGCTAGCTGCTATGGCCTGGGAAAGCAGTAGAAGGTGTCCCAATTCCTTGGGCCCCTGTACCTGCATGGGAGACCTGGAAGAAGCTCCTGGCTCCTGCCTTCAGATGGGCACAGCTCCAGCCGTTACAGCCAGTTGGAGAGTGAACCAGCAGATGGAAGACCTCTCTCTCTCTCTCTCTCTTTGCCTCTCCTATCTGTGTGTAACTCTGACTTTCAAATAAACAAATAAATCTTAAAAACAAAAACGAACACTTTCTAAAGAAGAGACTATGGGGTGGGTGTTTGTCTCAGCAGCTAAGACTCCACTTGGGATGCCTGTATCCCATATCTGAGTGCCTGGGTTTGAATCCCAACTCTGTTCCCAGTTCAAGCTGATGTATACCCCAGGAGGAAGTAAAGTGATGGTTCAAAGCTGGGTCCCTTCTGCTCATGTGGGAGACCCCGCCTGAGTCTCCAGCACCTTGGCTTCAGCCTGGCCTGGCCTTGACTGTTTCAGGCATTGAACCAGCATTTGGGAGCTCTCGGTCTCTCTCTGCCTTTAAAAAAAAAAAAAAAGAAAAGAAAAAGAAAAAAGAAAAGAAAAAGTAAACAGAGAGACTATAATATACATGATTTCCTAGACCTATCTGACTACAAAACCTCTTTCCCCCACTAACCCCTAATGTAAGTAAAGATGTGTAGAACATATGTTGGAAAATAACCAGACCTGGAGAAATGCACCCCCCCTTGGAGACGGGGTTCAAGTCTCATCCAGCAGGAAGCTGTGCAGAACCACTGCTGGTCACGCCTGCAGCATCCTTCCCAGGCACTGCTCCAGCGCTCAGGGATAAGGCTGCATCATTCCCAGTGCCCACTCTGTGCTAGCCGAAAGCCTGCAGTACAGCAGGCAAGGGTGCTTTCCATATGGCCTCACGGCTGAGGGACGGTTTTTACTGGGAAGAACAGAGGTCAGTATCAGTAAGACAAATGCCAAGGCTTTAGATTTTCTAGAAAATGCCTCCACTAACCTTTGCTACTCAAGCCTCACAGCTACCAAAGAGAAGGGACAGCCTTTTTGCTATTAACACACAGAAGAGTAGAGATGGAAACTTGTCAGAGCAATTGATGCCAACAAAATTTCCCACAGAGAAGGCCAAGTATCCACAGGACTGGGACTGTTCAACTGTCAGAGCTTCTATCTGCTCACCAATGCCACCATCCTCCACTGTCTGCTGGCTTCGGATCTGGGTGAGCTCCAGCAGCAGTATCAGGACTGCAACAGCCAGGACACCTTCACCAACAATGTCTGCCTCCCAAGGAAGTCGGTCTACATTGTCCTAGGCCTGAGTCAGGGGTTCGGCTTAACCTGGGATATCAGTGAACCCCCTACCTCCAACTCTCTCTCCCTCCCTCTCTCTTGCTCTCCCCCCAGTCTAAGGCTCAGGTAGCACCCTAGAAGATGATGATTTAGAAATAGGCATCTTGGATTTTTGACTCTCATTATGAAGATTTCTCACTAGGTTATAAATCTGTAATACACATCATTACTGTTGGACACAACTACTGTTCTTGTCATCAAGCACAGAAAATTTATCTTCTCAAAAGCAAACTAAGCTAATCTGAAGTAAAAAAAAAAATGCATGCTGCCTCCTACCATCCAACACAAGGCATACTATTCTTGGTGGCCTTTCCTAGTGATGTTGAACAGTGGGTTGAGTATTGCCAGCCTAATGGTTTCTCAGTCATTGATGTTGGGTGTCTAGATCTATCACTGCTGTAGGGTTAAAAATAATGACTTTTTTCTTTTTTAAAGATTGTATTTATTTATTTGACAGGCAGAGTCACAGTGAGAGAGAGAGACAGAAAGAAAGGTCTTCCCTCCGTTGGTTCACTCCCCAAATGGCCACAACGGCCATAGCCGCGCTGATCCAAAGCCAGGAACCAGGTGCTTCCTCCTGGTCTCCCATGCGGGTGCAAGGCCCAAGCACCTGGGCCACCCTCCACTGCACTCCCAGGCCACAGCAGAGAGCTGGACTGGAAGAGGAGCAACCGGGACTAGAAATGGAGCCCCATGGGATGCTGGTGCCACAGGCGGAGGATTAGCCTAGTATGCCACAGCGCCAGCCCCAAAAAAATAATGACTTCTGATAGGAGTTGCGAAATACCAATTTATGGGTGGTACATGATCCCACTATGAGGTATTCTTGCAAAAATCAAACGAAAAATAAAAGAACCTTAGGCTAATCAAGCTAAGATCTAATTATTAGTTTATAGGAAACCATGGGGAACAGAGAAACAAGTTAGGCAAGTATCGTGGTAGTGGGATAGACACACTGGGGACACTGCAATGAGCTCCTGATGACAGAGATTCAACACTAGACTGAAGATTTTAGAGTCCAATCTTCCAGCAATAAAGAGTCACTGAAGTGCCACCATGAAAACAGGATCTGAGAAAGGTCCTTGAGATCACACGTACAGTAATGGACTAGAATAAGCAGAGATTAGAGAAGAATGAAACCATGAGGGCCTGGGCATGAGGCAGATGAGGGCAGTGAGAAATCCTCTAAAGGACAAATGGAGCCGGCGCCGCGGCTCACTAGGCTAATCCTCCGCCTAGCGGCGCCGGCACACCGGGTTCTAGTCCCGGTTGGGGCGCCGGATTCTGTCCCGGTTGCCCCTCTTCCAGGCCAGCTCTCTGCTGTGGCCAGGGAGTGCAGTGGAGGATGGCCCAGGTGCTTGGGCCCTGCACCCCATGGGAGACCAGGAAAAGCACCTGGCTCCCGGCTCCTGCCATCAGATCAGCGCGATGCGCCGGCCGCAGCGCACTGGCCGCGGCGGCCATTGGAGGGTGAACCAACAGCAAAGGAAGACCTTTCTCTCTGTCTCTCTCTCTCTCACTGTCCACTCTGCCTGTCAAAAAAATCAAAAAAATCAAAAAAAAAAAAAAAAAGGACAAATGGAGAGAATGGTGACCAATCAGAAATAGTGCCAAGGACAGACAGGAATTCACTCTGAAGCTGAAATGTCCTGCCTGGATAACTGGGAGAGACAATGGTAGTGTCAGGACCAAAATAGGAACTGTGAATTCTTTCAGAGGCACTAAGCCAGTCATACCATACAAAATTTTTTAAAATCCCGAAATACCACTCTAGCAAACCCACCTGTCCTGGGCTACACAGCCCCATCAGACTTTGCTGATGAAGAATATCAATGACATCTTCAATCACTCATCTGCACACTCAACACACATTAATTAAAATCTAATCAACACCCTGTCCTCTGATTTAAGCTAGGTGCACAGAGGGATCCAGCACAGCCTGCCCTTCGTCAGTTCAGTTCTACCTGCTTTCTCTGCTGAGGAGCTGTTGCCAATGCATGAGTGGCCAAACTGCTTCACAAAGACACGAATCCCTGACACCAGTTTCAGCTGCCATGTACGGTACATAAACATCCTCAGTGTATCTTGGCCTGGGACTCACAGGCTACTGTGATTTCTTTCTTTTTTTTTTTTAAGATTTATTTATTTATTTGAAAGTCAGAGTTACAGAGATAAAGGCAGGCAGAGAGAGAGAGAGAGAGAGAGAGAGAGAGATAGGTATCTGCTGGTTTACTCCCCAACTGGCTGCAATGGCTGGAGCTGAGCTGATCTGAAGCCAAGAGCCAGGAGCTTCTTCCAGGTCTCCCACGTGGGTGCAGGTGCCCAAGGATTTGGGGCCATCTTCTACTGCTTTCCCAGGCCATAGCAGAGAGCTAGATCAGAAGTGGAGCAGCGCTGGCACTGTGGCTCAATAGGCTAATCCTCCGCCTTGTGGTGCCAGCACACCGGGTTCTAGTCCCAGTCGGGGCGCCGGATTCTGTCCTGGTTGCCCCTCTTCCAGGCCAGCTCTCTGCTATGGCCCGGGAGTACAGTGGAGGATGGCCCAAGTGCTTGGGCCCTGCACCCCAAGGGAGACCAGGAAAAGCACCTGGCTCCTGGCTTCAGATCAGTGCAATGCGCCGGCCGCGGCGGCCATTGGAGGGTGAACCAACGGCAAAGGAAGACCTTTCTCTCTCTCTCTCTCACTGTCCACTCTGCCTGTCAAAAATAAAAATAATAATAAAAAAAAAAAGAAGAAGAAGTGGAGCAGCCAGGACTCAAACTGGTACCCATATGGGATGCCAGCACTGCAGGCGGCATCTTCACCTGCTACGCCACAGTGCTAGCCCCGTGATCTCCTTTCAAAAGGGGGAGGGGGGGTCTCCATTCTGGTCCCCCTAATTCCTTATTTTATGGCAGGCTTCTCAGGGTGGGCATTTGGCTCAGCGATTACAAGCCACGTGGGCTGCCTGCGTCCCATACTGGAATGCCTTTGTCTGAGTCCCCACTCCACTCCCCATTCTGCTTCCTGATAACACACAAGCATACGTGGGAGGCAGCAGACAGTGGCCCAAATCGTTGGGTCCCTGCCACCAAGATGGGAGACTGAGATTGAGCTCTGGGCTCCTGGCTTCAGCCTGGCCCAGTCGCAGCTGTTGCAGCATTTGGGGAATGAACTAGCAATGGAAGATCTCTCTTACTCTTTCCCCCTCTCTCTCTCTGCCTTTCAAATAAAATAAAAAGAAATAAGAATTAGTTTTGTCTATAGGACAAAAAAATGAGAGGCGGTCAGCTTTGGCCTCCATATGCCTGAAAGTTGATATGAAATCAGTAAGGTAACTTCATGTACAGCGTGACTGATCTTGGCTTTGTACCCAAGAGGTAGGACTTCAGGAAGAGGCTCCACTCCATTGGTTTCTCAAGTAACTTTGATGTTCTAAGGAAACCTGTGCTAAAGACACAGATACAAAATAGAGGCCCAACTAGACTCCTGATTACAGGACAACAATAAGCTTATCAAATGTTAATCTACCTCACAAAGCAAGTTAATGGGGCAGGTAAAAAGCCTAGAGACATTATAAAGGCCTAGAAAAGGGCAGATCTACAGTGTGCTAACAAGCCAGGGCTGCAATTTTTCAGGGGCTTCCTATTTCCCTCAAGTGTAAGAGCTTTCTCTTTCTCATGGCCCCAGGAGTTGCAAAAACAGAGCCTGTGATAGGATAGGGTAGGGGCAAGTCAAAAAAAGAGGCTTACTGAAGACTCCTGTTGAGACAGAGGAGGGGAGCCCAGTGTGGGTTGCTGGAACCCTGGGGGAGCACAGAGGCTTGCAGGCTCTTCTGTGCCAAGGCGGAAGCTTTAGGGCGGGCCGAGACTGAAATTTCTTCCATACAGAGTACCAGTGACTGGCAAATGAGGTCTAACACTCGGTTGCCCGGACCCCACCCAGGCCTCTGACATCCCAATCCTGCCTTTGCCATCTCCAAGGACAGGGAGCAAACATGGGCCCTCACAGCAACCATCAGCTTTGCCTGAGGCTAGAGAGGGATGTGGTGCATACTCACAGACTGTCAATGATCTTAACAAAGATGCTGCCATCCTGGAGCTGTGGCACAGCCTCCACAGGGTCAGCCACGCGCAGACTGTTTATCTGGAACCCAAAGGGAAGAAACTGGTGAGACTTATGAATGCTAGAAACCGTGTGGTCTGCCCCTGTTTCTAGATGCTGGCAATTTTCTGCTCAGCATAAGTGCCTTCAGTTAAGCAATAGAAACAAAGGAACTGATGCCTCCGGAAGTTCTAATTTAAGCAAGGAATGTGGGGAGACCACTGATCCCATCACAGCCACCTAAAATGCCACCAAGAGTCCTCTCTTCTGTTTCAACCAAGTAAGAGCTTACATCCTAGAATGCTCCAGTCCTGGGGATATGAGGCTTAAAATATAATTAAGCATCAAATGGTTCTGGAAAGCTGTGTAAGAAACTAGTATAGGCCAGTGCCGCGGCTCACTTGGCTATACTTGGCTAATCCTCCGCCTGTGGTGCTGGCCCACTGGGTTCTAGTCCTGGTCGGGGCGCCGGTTCTGTCCCGGTTGCTCCTCTTCCAGTCCAGCTCTCTGCTATGGCCCGGGAGTGCAGTGCAGGATGGCCCAAGTGCTTGGGCCCTGCACCCACATGGGAGACCAGGAGGAAGCACCTGGCTCCTGGCTTCGGATTGGCGTAGCATCCAGCGGTAGTGACCATTTCAGGGAGTGAACCAACAGAAGGAAGACCTTTCTCTCTGTCTGTCTCTCTCTCTCTCTCTCTCTCTCTCTCTCTCTCTCTCTCACTGTCTAACTCTGCCTGTCCAAAAGAAAGAAAGAAACTAGTACAAACTGTAGAGGGAAGCCTGAGGTGGGAAAAAGAAATGCTTTTTACCTATAACCTTTTTTTTTTTAAATAATTATTTATTTGAAAGTCAGAGTTACACACAGAGGGAAGGAGAGTCAGAGAGAGGGGAGGGGAGGGGAGGGGAGAGGAGGGGAGGGGAGGGGAGTCTTCCATTCCACTTGTTCACTCCCCAAATGACCACAATGGCTCGAGCTGAGCTGATCTGAAGCCAAGAGTCAGGAGCTTCTTCCAGGTCTCCCACACGGATCCAGGCCATAGCAGAGAGCTGGATAGGAAGAGGATGGGATATTGGCGCTGCAGGCTGAGGCTTTAACCTGATGCGCCACAGCGCCAGCCCCATCTATAACCTTCTGCAGCTCCTAAATGTTTGCATCCTTGTGTCTCCTGAATTTTTAGATTATAGTCCTTTATGGCTTTTGAATTTTGAAATATCCAAAGCATAAACACTACATGTTATATACTCCTATAGAGACGTAAGATCTTATTATTAGTGCCTTTTTATTCTCTCAGACACAAAATTTTGATTGAAAAGGAAGCAAAAGAGGATAAAGAAAGAATACAGAACGAGGTAACTTTTTCAAAAAGGGAGGAAGGAAAAGAGGAGCTGGGAACCTCAGAGAAAAACTTCTCAATTTGCAATCAATTGCTTATTCCCCTTCTTGATTTCAGGCAGAAGTCCATCTAAACCAGTCTCCAACCACCAGAAAATTCACCAGAGGCTACATGCAAATCAATCAGGTATATGAGTTATTCTACAAGCATATATGGCTGACAGCTACAGGAAAACTCAGGAATTCCATGAGCACTCAAGTCCTGTAGTCGCAGGGGCTGAAGCTTACTTTTGTATTACACAAGAAGAAAGGATTTGCTAATTAATCTCATATGTAACACTAAGAGGGGAGTGAAACTTAGCCTAAGAAACAAGGTATTTTTAATGACTTCAGCACAGTAGTTATGTGCAAACAACCAGATTCTATTTCTCAAAGTGTGTTCTTTAAAAAGCACAGGGTTAGGGCCAGTGCTGTGGTGTAGCAAGTAAAGCCACTGCCTGAGTGCCAGCATCCCATATGTGCAACCGGTTTGAGTCCCAGCTGCCCCACTTCCAATCCAGCTCTCTGCTATGGCCTGGGAAAACAGTAGAAGATGACCCAACTCCTTGGGCCCTTGTACTGACGTGGGAGACCAGAAAGAAGCTCCTGGCTCCTGGCTTCGGATCAGCCCAGCTCCGGCCATTGCAGCCATCTGGGGAGTGAACCAGCAGATGGAAGACTTCTCTCTCTCTCTCTCTCTGCCTCTGTAACTCTGCCTTTTAAATAAATTAATTAAAAAAAAAAAAAGAAAAGAAAAGCAAGCAAGCACAGGGTTGGTACACGGAGATACAGATTGCAGGTCCAGTTCCTCCACTAATGTGACACAAGCCTGTTATCAATTTTATTTTTCTGTGCGTATCTTCTCCCTTGTCCAAAGGAGGAAATCCCACAGGTCTCTAAAGACCTGCTGTGGGCTCAAATGGGATTATGGCTGCAAGAACACATTTTTAAAGATTTGTTCATTTGAAAGTCACAGAGAGAGAGAGAGAGAGAGAGGGAGGGCGGGCCAGAGAGAGATTTTTTCCCCCAAAGTACTATTTATTTATTTGAAAGGTTGAGTTAGAGAAAGAGAGAGATCCTCCATCCTGGTTCACTCCCCAAATGGCCACGTCGGCCGGGGCTGGACCAGGCTGAAGTCAGGAGCCAGGAGCTTCAACCAGGTCTCATACGTGGGTGCAGGGGCCCAATGAGTTGGGCCATCTTCTGCTGCTTTCTCAGGCACATTAGCAGGAAGCTGGATCAGAAATGGAGCAACTGGGACTTGAAATGGCTCTCATTTGGGATGCTGGTGCTGCATGCAGCAGTTTAACCTGCTGTACCACAGTGCAGGCCCCAACACTACATTTTTTAAAAGTACTAAATGTGGGGCCGGTGCTGTGGCATAGTAGGCTAAGCCTCCACCTATGGTGCTGGCATCCCATATGGGCACCGGTTTGTGTCCTAGCTGCTCCTCTTCTGATCCTGCTCTCCACTTATGGCCTGGGAAAGCAGAAAATGTTACAACTACTTGGGCCCCTGCACCCAGAGACCCAGAAGCTCCTGGCTCCTGGTTTCAGACTGGCCTAGCTCTGACCTTAGTGGCCATTTGGGGAGTGAACCTGCAGATGGAAGACCTTTCTCTCTGTCTCTCCTTCTCTCTGTCTATAACTCCACCTCTCAAATATATAAATAAAATCAAAGTACTAAATGCAAGGGACTACGATGATTATTAAAAATAACAGGCAGGCTTTTGGTCCAGTGGGTAAGTCACCACTTGGGACACCAGCATCCCATACTGGACTGTCTGGCTTCAAGTCCCAGTTCCAACTCCAATCCTACAACTCCCTGGTAATACGCTTAGGAAGCTGCAGGTGCTGGCTCAAATACTTGGTTCCCTGCCACCTATCATGGGAAACCCAGATGGATCCAGGCTCCTGTCTTTGGCCTGGCCCAGGCCTGGCTGTTGTGGATATTTGGGAAGTGAACCAGCAGATGTAAAAGCTTTCTGTCTCTTTTCTCTGAATATCTGCCTTTCAAATAAAAATAAACAAATAAAAATTTTTTTAAATTTTTAAAAATAAGCAGACTTCCATTTTATAACAGTTAAATTAGCAGCATACACTGTAAAATTAAGAGAATTTTCAAATCATGATTCAGGGGCCAGCATTGTTGCAGACCAGGTCTCATTGCTGCTTCTAATGCCAGCACCCCATCTCCAAGTGTGGGTTCAAGGCCCAGTCCTGGCTTATTGTATCCATTTGAGGGGTGACCTACTAGATGGAATATTCTTCTGACTCTCCCTGTCATTCTGCTTTTCAAATAAACAAATCTTCTATTAAAAAAAAAGTCCTTTAAAAAAGCCAGTGATTCATCTATAGAAAAGACAGTATGCAGTTAAATACTTTATTAAAAACAACTTTTAAATGGTGAAAAGTTTCATTTTTTAAAGTGTGGAATGTAAAACATGACCTCTCACTGAAGTCTTAAAGACAATATATCTATAACGTCTATTGAAAAAAGCACATTCCAATTGTCCTGGACAGATGAGTATCATTTTCTGAGAACATCACGACTTAAGCATCCCAAAACATCTCTTTAAATATATATAATATGTGTGTGTGTGTGTGTGTGTGTGTGTGTATGTCCAGCGCTGTGGTACAGCAGGTTAAAGCCCTGGCCTGTGGTGCCAGCATCCCATATGGGCACGGGTTCTAGCTCCAGCTGCTCCACTTCCCATCTAGCTCTCTGCTGATGGCCTGGGAAAGCAGTAGACCCAGAAGAAGCTCCTGGCTCTTGCCTTCAGATTGGCTCAGCTCTGGCCGTTGCAACCATTTGGGGAGTGAACCAGGGGATGGAAGATCTTTCCCTCCCCCCACACCATTCTGCCTTTCAATAAATAAAATAAATCTTAAATATATGTATTATTTATTTATTTGAGAAACAAAGACAGAGAGAAAGCTCCTATTTGCTGGTTCACTGATCACCAATGGCCAGACTCGGACTGGACAAGCTGCGGCTGGGAGCCAGGAACTCTCCCCCATGTGCGTGATAGGAACCCAACAACTTGAGCCATCACTGCTGCCTCCCAGGTCTGCATCAGCAGGAAGCTGAAATTAAGAACCAGATGCCGGTCTCAGGCACTCCAATGTGGGACACAAATGTTATAAACCTGCATCTTAACTGCTAGGCCAAACTCCATTCCATCTTTTTTGTTTTTTGACAGGCAGAGTTAGACAATGAGAGAGAGAGAGAGAGAGAGAGAGAGACAGAGACAGAGAGAGACAGAGAGAAAGGTCTTCCTTTTGCCGTTGGTTCACCCCCCAAGTGGCCGCTTCGGCCAGCGTGCTGCACCGATCTGAAGCCAGGAGCCAGGTGCTTCCTCCTGGTCTCCCATGCGGGTGCAGGGTCAAAGGACTGGGCCATCCTCCACTGCCTTCCCGGGCCACAGCAGAGAGCTGGCCTGGAAGAGGGGCAACCAGGACAGAATCTGGCGCCCCGACAGGGACTAGAACCCGGTGTGCTGGCGCCGCAGGCGGAGGATTAGCCTATTGAGCCACGGCACCGGCCCCATCTCCTTTTAATACCTGCCATCTAGGTAAAACATTCAAGACCCATGAATGCTTGTCCACTAATAAGAATGAACATCATACCAACTGGCTGATTTAAAGCAAGGAATCTAGAGTCATTACTTA